AATTAACATCGGGTTGTAGGAAAATGTAAACCAAACCTTTAGCTATTTATTATTTAGTCAGTATGATGGGAACCATGTGGAATTTAATTCCCATATGTAATAGTATTAATCAGTTTGTGTCAGAGTCATATAGGGCTTATTTAGTTAGTAGCCTCCAGTTTCATATATAGTTAGTAGGGTATAAGCTTTCGATTAGCATATATTTCACATATTTCTAGTGAAGTTCTAATGTTTGTTTTTTGGTGTGTTTTAAGTGAAAATGGAAGAATTGACATTCTTTATGGTTACTTTTCATGTAAGTAAGGTTTTATGACAACAAATGCAAAAGTATGGTTTAATGTGTAAATTGGTGATGTTTTGTAGGTTTTGGCATTTCATGGATAAAGGGAGATTATTTTAATTGATTTGTGAAGATTTGAAGTGATTTGATAAATATAAAGTGTAAAATGCAATCAAGTGCAGAAGAAATGTATCCTAACAATATATATATATAATTTAAAAGCACACAGGATTGATCGTAATAATAATTTACCTGGAGCATTTCAGGAGTCGAATCCACAGGAATGAGTTAATTTTCCTCTACTTTAATTATTATGGGAAGAAAACAATAAAATTTAAAATTTAAAAGTATTTAATTTTAACTAATTAAGGAAAAAATTAGATAACCAAATCAAATAAGATAAGATTGAGAAAATAGTTGAAAAGAGACTAGGGTTTTAGAGAGGACCTCTATTTGAATTGAACAAAAATAGTTTCATGTCATTTTCTTAATGAATAAAAAGTCAATTTTTTCCTTCAATGAATAAATTTTGAGTTTTTAGTCTAGGGTTTAATTTTGAGAGATTTAGTTAGTAGCGTTTTATTTTTTAAAAGATTCTAGAAAAATAGGTTTTAGCCTAATTTATTTGCAGGGAACAATTACTGGGATTTGTTGTTCCTATTTTCTTAGTATTTCAAATTTCTATTTTTCAGTGATACTTAGTTTCTACAAATTGGTCGAAGTTACGCACATTTGTTCCCAAACCTCATATTGTTTAATTGAGGGGTCCGACAAATAGACTTCAAAATAAAAACATCCTAACCATTTATTGTATTATTGCTGTTCTCAACCAAGAAGATGAATAAGAAAGAATAAAGAGGGCAAAAGCGAAACAAGTAATGAAGAAAAGAGAGAAAAAGATGGCTTTAGATGTTTCGAGACCATGTCTATCAAATCCTTACCAGAAAGTTGTAGAAAGAAGTCTAACAACACACAATACTGCAATTGTCAAAAAATTCCTAAAAAGTCAATTTAAAAGTTGAGCTACAAAAAATTTTAAATGATTATATAAATGGTATTTCTGAAACTATAATCACAAGCTGTCACTATGATTAGCTTGAGATAATCAAATAAACTGCTAAATATCAAAAGAACAGGAGAAAAAGTAAACTAGAAATACCATTAAGGGAAAAAATTACAAGTAAAGAAAAATTTATACAGTAACAAAATTTAGTTTTCTCCTACTGAATGGTTTTTCAACTATAGGGAGATGACAAGTCACAATAATCTCAACAAATAACTATAAAGAGTTGCAGTGACGAAGCCAGGATTTTTTCCTTAGGGGGGCCAAAAATTTTTCGAACAAAATTACCTTAATATGTTATGTTCAAAATAATTTTTATTTATTTAAATATATGACATCTTAAAATATCAAATATTAACTTTAATTATAAAAGTATGTCTATTTCATAAATATGTAACATAGTCATAACTAAAATTAAGACAAGAAATAACCTTTGATTAAATATCTTATAACATCACAAATCACCTAAGTTGCACATTATGAGAAGATGCTCCAATATGTCACTTGTGCAAAAACAAAAATATAACTATGCAATATAAATATAACTATTTTCAATTAAAAAAAAAGATAAAAGTTATGTTAACATACCTTGAAACTTCATCCTCTTTTACTAAAAGTAAATTGAGTTTTACGTTCTTTCATAGAACTAAATTCATGTATAATTAATGAATCAATGCTAAATTTTCAAACAACTTCCTTTCTTTATGTACATTGTTAGGCAATCTGTCGCGCCCCATTTTTCGTGATGGAAAATAAGTATAAAAATAGGTATTTACAAAATATGTGTTTACAAGAGATGTGATTTTATTTTAAAATAAATGAAAAGGACCTAAAATGGGACTTTAAAGAATGCGACAATTTGGGTCCAAATATTTAGTCTAAAAAGGGTTTTCAAGAAAAAGGGGAGTCGCCACTTGGAATTGAGTTTGGATGTACCAAGTCACCCAAAAAATGTATTTAAATAAAATAAAATAAAACCCTTTTCGACAACTCCAGGTCTTTGAAAAATAAGAGAAAATGGATTCGGGAGTCACGGTTGAAGAAAGGGAAGGCAAAGGTTCAATTTACTCAAACCTAAGGCACCCTTTCAACCTAGTCTAAGCTAGTTGCGTGGTTTAGTCAAAATTTTCCTAATCTAACCCTTAATTTATCATATTTGAATGTTTCCTACATGGATGCAAATCTAAATTTATAAAATATCGAAAGGGTCAAAATATCCATTCAAGGGTTTAATCGAACCAATCGCATTAATTGCGAAGGCCACAATGATTCCTTGAAAGTGTCACGAGTATGCGAATGATGAAATTAAAATAAAAGAAAAGAAATTACATTATATACATATATAAGTGATCAAAGAAAAATGGAATGCAACATAAAGGGTACGGGAGGCAAAAGCTCGTGACATAATTTTCTTATACATGGATTAATAGGGTATTTAAACTAAAAAGTTATAATCACCCATTTCCCATGTTTGAAAAATAATTATCCTAACATGAACAAGCAAACGAACTAGCTTAAATGAGATGCAATTCTAAATGACATGATTAGTACCTATAGAGGGTAAGGGATAATATAATAGGGAATATCATGTAAATGAGAAAAGATCCTAAAAATGAAAATATGCATGAAAATGTAATGAATATCACAAAAAAAATGAATCTAACGCACGAACGATCTAAGGGTCTAGCGTTGGACTAGCCCATTTCTAAAAATCCTTACTAGTGTTGGACTAGCAAGTAAATGGAGGGAGAAGCCACAACTAGCGTTGGACTAGTGTGGTGACGTCATGCATTTTTAATACATAATAAGACAAGTAGACATAGATTAAAACAAATAAACACATAAGAGCACGTAGCACGTAACACATAAGCATAATATCTAGATGCAAAAATCCTAAGGAAAGCGGGTAAGGCACGTAACATATAAGCCACATAAGCACACAACCTATCTATTACATCGGGGAGCGCCTAACTACAATTTAAAAGGGAAAATAAAATAAAATAAATCTAATTATCCTATCTATTACATTTTTGAGGTATTTAAGTGCCTCTCAAATAATTATAAAATTAACTAAACAAACATAAGAAAATTTAAATGAACATTCAAATCGAATAAACAAAGCATATAAAAATGTATAAACACATAGGAACACGTAGGAGCACATAAGAGCACGTAATTGACATTGAAATAATAATAATGGGGTACCTCCCTTTTGAAGTGGTGACTAAACGGAGTCAAATTGCCCTATTTATACTCAAAATGAACAAAAGAATCATGGCACCAATTTAATTGAAAAACTAATAATAATGAAAATTCACCTCAATATGTCAAACGTAAATAAATTTAAGAATATCTAAAAATTACAAGTTGAACATACACAAAAGTAGCATAATTAGCTATTAAAGAAAAGAAACGATCATAATAAAAGAGGGTCAAAATTCACAAGGGACTGAATTGCAAAATTGAAAAACTTTTGGAGATAGAAATTATATTTTTTCAAAGTTTAGGGGCCAAAATCAAATGAAAGATAAAGTTTAGAGACCAAAATGCAATTAACTTAAGGACCTAGGTGAAAGGAATTTAAAATGTTCTGGGTCACAGTGAAACTACTCCAAAGATCAGGGGTTAAAGTGCAACTTTCGGTTTCTGATTTGGGCAAGAAAAAGGCCACTGGGCCATCATTTTTATTTCTTTGGGCCAAACATTTCCTAAGCCCAGCCGAAAATCCAAGCCAAACGAGCAGGCTAGCCCATCTTTTCATCACTCAAGCCCAACAAAAACAATGCATGGGCTCTGACCTTCTAACCCAACCGAAACCCAAAAAAAAAAACAAAACCCATTCCCAAAACCCAACCAAAACTAACTCTTGGCCCATCAGAAAAAAAAATTTAGGCCAATTTCTTTTCTTTTTTCTTCTTTCTTTCTTTCCTTTTTTTTTCTTCCTTCCCCAATCGTTTCTTTCTCTGCTTCTTCGGCCAGCTGAAGAAGCTTCAGTTGGCGGCCATGGTGGCCGCCACCGCCTCCGGCGGCGGTCGCCGGCGACCTCTCCGGTCACCAAAATTTCTCAAAATATACCCCTTCACTCGATTTTTCGCGTAGGTTCCATTTTTGAACTTAGTTTTTACAGAAAATGACCCAAAAGTGGCCAAATGCCAAGAAATCAGTTCAGTTTTTATTTTTTTAAAACCCTCAAATCTTCACCAAAAATCATAAAAATTATGCCAAAACCCTCCTTATAACTTCCACAATACAACTATAATCTTAGTTTGACAAGTAAACAACAACAAAAGGATGCATTAAATCAAAACAGCCCCAAAAATGAAGAAAATTATTCTAATGCCTTTAAAGCTCAAAACTCCAAAAAATTTAGATAAGCACACATTTCCAGGCCTGGTGCTAGCTAACGGTCATCCGTTTTGACAACAACATGCACAATATTCAGATTTTTAATCCGTTTTTCCATTTCGGCACTTTATCAAGCATTTGGCATGCATTCACAGCACCGTTTCCTTTTTTCTTAATTTCATGCAGGCTTGTCCAAAAAAAACTTCAACAACACCACAATAGCAACAAAAATCAGTGAAAGAAAGAGACAAATAGGTAGCAAAACATGCATGTAATCTAATTAATTAAAAAAGGAAAAGCTGGAAAGAATACCTCAATGAGGTTGTGGTCCTTTGACTAAAATTTTGAGGAAGCTCCAGGCTCTTTGTCCAACCGGCGGCTGCCTCCTTGTGTCCAGGGAATTTTCTTTTCTTGTTGTGGCTTTTTCTGTCTCCCCCCTCTGGGAGAGAGCCGAGAGATGTCCTGGGAGGAAAAGTGGAGAGTTCCCTTTTTTCCTCTTTTTTTTTTTTGTCTCCAGAAGAGAGACCCGAGAGAGAGTAGTTGGAGCCAAAGGTGGAGCTTTTGTGTGTTGGATTTGCCAAAATGATGATTTCTTAGCTAATGAAAAGAAAGGTCCATGGCAATTGAGTGTGGAATGGGTTAATAGTTGTTTTGGTAGAGAAAATGATGAAAGTGATTTTTTATTTCTTGATTTTTCTCTTTTGTTTTGTGTTTTTTTTTCTTTTACCAAAAACAAACCTACAAAAATGAGAAAATCATTCATTAATATATATTAAAAAAAATGGTAATAATAATAACTTATCAAATAGATAAAATTTCAGGAAAATATTAAAAATTGACAAAAATTTGGTGTCTACAGCTTGCCCCTCTTTGTCTAGAGTTTCAAAGAAACTCAAGACAAAGACGTAGACACCAAATTGCTTACCTGTTTCTTTTAACTGCACCTGAGCTAAAATAATAAACCAACACTTGGCTATAATTATTGAGCAAAATGATGCAATGAAATTACAAAAACGTGACCGAACTCATGTAGAGTTGCCTACGTATCCCGCCATGGGAATCAGGTCAAACGCAGTTCGAATGCAAGCTATTCGAACGACTGACGCTTTTGAAATGATGACTGACCCCAAAATTTTAAAATGATCTGACCCAAACAAAAATTTAAAACGGCACTGACCCGAACCAGAAATTTAAAATGGGACTGACCCAAACAAGAAATTTAAAATGAGACTGGCCCGAACAAGAATTTAAACATGGGACTGGCCCAAACGAGAAATTTTAAATATGGGACTGACCCGAATAAGCATTTAAACATGGGACTGACCCGAACAAGAAATTTAAACGTGGGACTGACCCGAACCAGAATTTAAACATGGGACTGACCCGAACAAGAATTTAAACATGGGACTGGCCCGAACAGGAAATTAAACATGGGACTGACCCGAACGAGAAATTAAACATGGGACTGACCCGAACAAGAAATTTAAACATGGGACTGACCCGAACAAGAAATTTAAATGTTGGACTGACCCGAACGAGAATTTAAACATGGGACTGACCCGAACGAGAAATTTAAACATGGGACTGACCCGAACGAGAATTTAAACATGGGACTGACCCGAACGAGTAATTAAAAACATGGGACTGACCCGAATAGAAAATTAAACATGGGACTGACCGAACGAAAATTAAACATGGGACTAACCCGAACGAGAATTTAAACATGGACTGACCGAACGAGAAATTAAACATGGGACTGACCCGAACAAGAATTAACATGGACTGACCCGAACAGAAAATTTAAACATGGGACTGACCCGAACGAGAAATTAAAACATGGGACTGACCCGAATAGAAAATTAAACATGGGACTGACCCGAATAGAAAATTAAACATGGGACTGACCCGAACGAAAATTAAACATGGGACTGACCCGAACGAGAATTTAAACATGGGACTGACCCGAACGAGAAATTAAACATGGGACTGACCCGAACAAGAATTTTAACATGGGACTGACCCGAACGAGAATTAAACATGGGACTGACCCAAATGAGAATTTAAACATGGGACTGACCCGAACAGGAAATTAAACATGGGACTGACCCGAATAGAAAATTTAAACATGGGAAATGCCGGTATACTTACCTAAAAATAGCCCAAAATTTTGCCCCAGTAGAGGTTAAGTTTATGCATCTGAGCTAATTGTTGATTCTGCATTGCCATGTTGTTGCACCTTTTGATCAAACTTGCTTGCAACACTTTTCGATCCGCCTTTGTTCACTGGAGAACTCTTTCCGATACCGATTCCAGTGCAAGTTGTGATTGTTTTCATCTATGCATGAAATTTTTCTGCAAAAGAGAAAGAACAAAGAAATTGCCACCATTATTTGATCCGTTTCCCTTTGAGAATCGTGTAAACATGAGTCTTTTGATGCCTTCGTCCACTTATGCTGTGGCATTTTTCCAGACTGACCAGGTATGCATTTTGCCATATTGTGAAACCTGCGTAGCTAGCTTTGCTGAATCTCAATCATTTCCAAAAGATTACTGAATCCAAGTATGCTTCGAATAAACCATAGGAATTGTCATTCACCAAAATTCAATGATAAAATAAAAATAAAATAAAAAAATAAAAAAAATGAAGTATGCAAGGTAATTTTACATGTCATGCAGAAATGGATATGCAAAAGAATGCAAATGAAACTAATTGGGCTTTAAAATGCCATGAATACAAGCAATTGAGAAAAGATGAGTTTCCTAAGAATGTATTTGCAAAAGAACATTTTTACAACGTGACACAGCTTTTGGCCAATGGATGTCATATTCGAATCTCTGGATATCTTTGTTCCGAAATTCAACATTGGCAGAAGTATAACAAAACGAAGGGAAATTCAAATGAACCAAAGTCACCAGCTGTTTCTCCTCGTGCTCGCTTACTGCATAACCCTACCTTGGCGCCCTTTCGGGTTTTCACCAAGGTTGACCCCACCCTTGCTTTTTTTCTTTTTTTTCCTTTTTTTTAATTTATTAATTTATTTTTTTTTTTAGGTGCCCTTTCGGATTTTCACCTAAGGAACAACGGACAATCTCGACCATAATCGACTCAAGAATGTGAGTTGACAATTGCTAGCATCAGTAAAATGCGCTTCCCTTATAAGTTTAGGCGAAGGCATTGTGGACATCACTTGCTAGTTGATTAGCGAACTTCCTAATAGAAATACAACAAGTGACGAAAGCCAGGACTTTGGGTTTTTGTAATGAGGTTAGGTGGGGTGTTTTTCAAGAAAAGTTGAGGCTTGAAAGCAATTTTTTTTTTTTTTGTTTTGATGAGAGGTGTGAAATAACCTGAGATTGCATCATTTTGAGATTATCTCCAATTTTTGAATGAAACCGAGGAAAACTTGCCCCAGTTTGATTGGATTTTTCTCTCTTTGCATTTTTCTCACTCTTGCATTTTTCTTCAAAAACTAAATTTGCCCCAGTGTGGGGTTCTTTCTTCTTTTTTATCTCTCTTTCAAAATAAATTTGCCCCAGTGTGGAGTTTTCCTTTTCTTTCTGAGCATCTTTTTTCAAAATAAATTTGCCCCAGTGTGGGGCTTTTCTTTTCCTTTTCCTCTTTTGGATCATCTTTTCCAAAAGAAATTTGCCCCAGTGTGGGGTTTGCAATTCTCAGGGGTTGTCAAACGAAAATTATTATTTTGACAGCTCAAAGGGGATGACTAGGGATGAAATGTTTTGATTGGAAAGAAAGATGGCCTGACTTTTGTCTCGTCACTTGCGTGACTTCTAAAAGAAATTTGCATAATCAAATAAAGAACTTCTTACACAGGTCTGAGTTGATAGGTTGAGGGAATGTCTGTCCATCCATCTCTGCCAAAATGAGTGCTTTGCCAGGTAATACCTTTTGAACAATGAATGGCCCTTGCCAATTTGGAGCAAATTTGCCTTTGGCCTCATCTTGCACTGGCAAAATTCGCTTTAGCACTTTGTCCCCTTCTTCTTTAAATGATCGCCGATGGACCTTTTTGTTGTAAACACGGGCCATGCGTTTTTTGTAGCTTTGGCAGTGACATATAGCATTCAGACACTTTTTATCAATCAGAGCCAATTGTTCATGACGTTGATTTAATCAATCAGCTTCTTCCAACTTGGCTTCCTTTAGAATACGCAATGAAGGGATTTCAATCTCGGCAGGCAGCACAGCTTCCCTTTTTCTGCTTTTCATTCAAATGTCTACTGATCTTTATCTCTTTGACTTCAGTCTCGGTGCCATTGTTAACAATCTCTATCTCTTCTAGGTTCGGTTTGGATTTCTCTTCATATTGTTCGTGACCTTTTGAAAAAATCAGATACTTCCTCATTATCACTCTCGTTTTGAATTTCAGATTCCATAATGTCAAAGTCGTGAGTGATATCGAGATGGCCGTCATCGAATTCCAGAACAGTGATATCCAAAGGTCAAATAATTTTATTTTTAGCTATCTGAAAGAATGTAAAAGGAAATTAAAAACAATACACAATCAACCAAAATAAACAAAATGGTATCAAACAAACAAGAATAATGAAAAGATGTAACTATGCACTCCGTTGAAAAATACAAAAACAACACAGGAGCTTGATAATGCGAAAATTGTTTTAGCCAAAACTCTTTACACAAAACCAGTGACAATTTTTATGAACTTTAGCAAATGACAACCCCAGATTTTATCGAAATTCCCTTTGAGAGGGAAGATACTCGGCAATCCAATTGTGCAAAACTCCTTCAAGATTTTCAAATTTCTTCATTGGAGGTGGATGCCTCAAAGGTGTCCTTGTGTACAGGAAAAGGATTTGTACTTATGCTCGGCCTTTGTTCACCCTTTTTCCTTAGCACTATTTCCCCTGCCTCGATCATGTCTTGGACTTTGTGCTTAAGGGCTTTACAATCGGCGGTTGAGTGACCAGGTGCTCCCGAATGATAGGCACAAGTGGACTGTGAATTGTATCCGGCAGGCATGCCATAAGGGTAAGTTGGAGGGGGAATCACACCTATTTTACCGGCATCCTTTAACTGCTCATACACTTGGTCCAAAGGCCTGCCTAGGTTGGTGAAGGTTCGGGTGCGGCTTTGATTGTAGGTTTCAGTGGGCTGGGGATAGTTATAGGTGGGTCCGTTTGGTGGGAGAAATCTCTGGTTGTAAGGAAGTCGAGGACGAGTTTGTTGAAAATTTGGTTGAGATATTTGAAAAGAGTTTGTGGGCGGTTTGGCGTAATTTAGGCGAGGTCGGGGGTGGGAGATATTGGTATTGTAGACAGGGTGAGAACTTGGATAGTAGGGATAAGGTGGTGAATATGTTGGTTTGTATTGAAATCTGGGTCTTGGTGTAGGATTTTGATCCCAGATGAAGGCAGCTTCCCCCTCTTTCTTTTGAAATTGCGGCTTTTGTCCACTGCTCCCTTGTCCTTGCAAAGCATCCAATTGTGATTTGAGGGTAGAGACATTAACTATCTTCCCAACTCTTACGAAATCATCGTATTCTTCAAGTTTATTGACAATAGCGGC